TAGTTTATATGTGTGCTATGTTAATATACGTTGTGTGCTGAAATCATTTATATTATGTATGTGGTGATCATTGTTATGTGTTGACTTATAACGTACTAACATATATCTTATGTTGTCAATTTATATCTCACGTGTTGTCTATATATATTTTGTGTTCTATCAACACTGTACTGAGTAATTAGAGTCAGCATATTAACAACAACCTATTATAGTGTTGGTTTCTTTGTCTGTGAAAATTATGTAATTATTCATTTTTAGTGGTTCTCTAAACTTATGCACATTCCATTTGTAGTAACCACTTTTATCTCGCCACAATTTTATTACCCTTACTTTAAAAAAGAATAACTAACTTATCATTATGTTTTCTACTTATCTTACCACTTCTCTGTCAATCCCTTAATAATTTTTCAATAATACCGCTAGTTTACTTTTTATCTATTCTACTTTAACATTAAAATAATGCCCAACCAAACTTACAGGTAATTTTATCGCATGGATGCAGTATTATTTAAGATGACCTTAAACACAAAGATAAAAATGCAACAAAAAATACAGTTTTCAAGCAAAGTCTCGTTTGTTTTCCTGACACCGAAAGTAGTCTATCAAGCAACCAAACACTCTTTGCTACAGATATCAAAATGCTTAGATGTTTACGTAGGTAGTTAAAATGGTGTAATTAAGGGATAAATTGGTGCCTGGTATGTGTTGGTATTTTTAAAGAAAATAAAATGGTATGTTGCTTTAAAAAAAAAAAAAGGGTTATAGATTCCCAAAAATTGGTACCATATTTCATCCCTTAGATTGCATGGATAAGAAGAAAAGTTAGTATGATGATAAGAAGTGATGTGCAAGTATAATGTAAGTCCAGAAGCACAAGTCATTGTGAACAATTGTATAGAGCCAAGGTCCATATTTTGTAGTACTTTTCTTATATATATATATAGTTTTTTTCTGTATATATGTATATATATTTCCCTTAATTTTTTTTTTTTTTTTTTTTTTACTACGATACTGCTGTTTCAAATAATAAAATATTTATATTTGGATACAAATCACTAAGATCATAGCACTGTAGAGGTGAATTTCATTAATAAGAGGAGGATTCCTTAATTTCATTGCAGTTATTGTTTGATCTTGTTATTTTGTGCTTTTCTTTTGGTTTTTTTTTTTTAATTATTATTCCTCCATATTTGCAATACTTTCAGATATTTCATTTAGTAATAATTTTTTCATAAAAAGTATCATTACATTCAATAAATATTTTACTTTAAAAAATATTAAAAGACAAAATACAAAATTTAAAACAACACACACAAAAATAAAATTAATGAACATTCAAAAATAAAAATTATATGAGTTCATACATTCGCTAAACTAATAAAAAATTAAAATTAAAACTATTTCTTGAAAAAATTAAATTTTTGCATGCACATATTAATCATAGAAGTACCCCTTAAATATATATTTCGAGATATGAAGTTAATAAGGGAATAATAAAAAACAAATTAAAAATGTGAAATTTGATTATTAGCCCGTGCAGGAGCAAGAATTGTCTAAAGGTTTTATTGACGTTCAAAAATAAGATATTTTTATTATTTTGAGCAAATTTAATGGTTAAAATTATATGTATTTCAACGTATTCAATTAATATAAAAATATTAATTTGATAAAATATGATCGAATCTGAATAGACAATTGGTCTATATAATCAACAATATAGTCGATGTAACGGTGGGGGCCATCGGTCGGGGGGCTCGGGATCTCCCGGGCCCCTATGTGGATCTGCCACTGGACCTCTTTGAAAAAAAAAAAAAAAAAAAGAGAGAAAAAGGATTAAGCTTTTTATTTCATAAACAATTACCTTTTTTATAGTTACCTTTCTTATTTGTTCGATTAGATTTGTATACAATTAAGTAATCAGATTTTAATAAGCCTAAGTTTATAATTTTAAATACATGCAATATATGATGTTTGTAATTACTAAGCAAATAATGACAATTGTGTTGTTTGTGTATTGAAAGTACTAATTGAAATAAGTGTTGTCAGTCAAAATATTTTTCGACGGCTTAACGGAGCGAGCCTGCCGAAAATTGGGTAGATTATCCGGCTTTCTCCAAAAAGGATCTGGAATTGTGTTTGACGAAAGTAATAAATCAACATAAGAGAAAAAGCGACAAAGATAGAAGGATAAGAAAGTAACAAAGTTAAAGGAAGGTGGACAAAAATTAAAGAAGTCAAAGAAAAAAGAAAAAAAAAAAGAAGAAAAGAACCCAGAAGCAAGACGATCAAGAAAGAACAGAAAAAAGAAAGCAAGGAAAGAAGCAAGGCAGGAAAGGAAAAAATAAAACTTGCATGAAAATTGAAAGTAAAATTATAATGTATGTGTACGTGTTTTTTGACTACATAATACATATATATATATATGCTAAATCTCACCAAATCTAACATAATTAGGATTCTATGTTATCCAAATCTTATCATTATCCAAAGATTATTTCACTACATATATTATTTCGCCCGGGCTCGCCAACTTGGATTTGGGCCTTCGTTTGAGTTGAACAATTGAGTTATCTTCTCTTCCATTAAACGCATAATTAGCCCAAATAATATATGTTTCTTTTGGGATAATAAATTGCCCCCCACAAAATTGTCGATCTTATAAAAATGAAAATATATCTTCTATGAACTTATATCTGATCGATACTTTTGTACAATATTTGATTATTTGTCTTCATCGTCATTTAACTCTATGGGTGGTGACGTCCTCCATTCATCGTCTCATATTGATGGATAATATATTTTTAAAATATTTGCCATTAATAGCCACTTTCAGCTCGTCACCTTGAGGGTTCATTAGCCTATATGCTCCTCGAGATGATTTAGCTATGACGATAGAGGGACCTTCCCAATTAGCCGACCATTTTCTCCATTCTTAGTGCTACAGTGCTTCGGGAAAATTGCTTTCCAAACAAGATCACCTTCCTGTTAAGTAATTGGTCGAGCCAATTTATTGTATGCTCTCTCAGCTTTCCTTTTCTTTATACGAATATGATCCAATGCGCACAAACGTTCTTCAGGGGCTGTTTCTAATTGCTGTAGTAATAATCAGTCATTTTCAATCATGGGAAGCTCAGCTTGTTGTACGGTTCATAATGATGGGACTGTAATTTCTGAATGTAGTACTACGTTATGCCCATTAGTCAGTCGAAAAGGTGTACTTCCTATAACCGATGATTTTGAATTCCGATACGCCCATAACACCTCACCTCTTCAAGCGTGTGGTGCCAACCCCTTGGGTTTTCCTCCAAATATTTTTAATCAAAATAAAAGAATGTCCTTTGGTTGAAAGGAGATATATTTTACCAATAATGTCCATTGCCCATCCTCGGATGACCATGGTTTAATAATTGAATGCAACACCTCGGATGGTGCTCGTCTCATGGGGCCATGTCGCTGGCATGCCTCACATTCCCTAGCATACAAAACGCAATCACATGATATAGTAGGCAAAAGATATCCATACCTGAAAATACTCCAATGCATAGCAGCACCGGACTGATGTGCGCCTGCAATGGCTTCATGAACCTTGGCCATAACCTGTTTTTCTTCATCACTGCCCAAACAGCGAGCTAATGTTTCGTCGGGGTGCCGAGAATATAGATCTTGATTGACCATGGTATACCTCAGAAGCTTCTCTCCAATCTTCTTTGAATTAATCTGATTTGGATCCATCAATTCATCAATATAGGGCTTCCGGCAATCAGCCTGCCCATCTGTTTGGATGCAATTAATACCAACAGCCCCCTTTTTTTGTTTAAATCCTGACGCCTGCTGTGCGAGATCATTTGCCTCGTTGTTCTCGTCACAAGGGATTTCTTCCAAAGTAGCTACTTGGAACTGCTGTAGGAGTGCTCGTACTTCATGCAAGAGGCTGATAAGATGAGGTTCTCAGCATTTAAATTCGCCCAAAGTTTGTCGGATAATGAGCTGCGAGTCGCCTTGAATATGTATAGCTACGACACTTTTCGACTCCAAAAAATGCAAGGCAAGCAACAAAGCCTCATATTCAGCTTCATTGTTAGTGCATGCTTTGGGAAGTCAATGTGTGAAACGCCAAACTCCGCCGTCGGGGCTGGTGACGACAACTCCTGCACCAGTCGTGTAATGCCCCGATTTCGGAATGTATAAAATAATATTATTATAGCAAATAAATATTTGACAATAGTAATGGAATCAAGAAATTAATATTTTGGGATAAATTATATTTCAATTTTGTATATTAGTTATAATTAAATAGACTGTTAAATGGATAAATATCGATAAATATAAATATAAAATATATAATAATAATATAATAATAAAAGTAATGATGATGAAGATAATATTTATAATAATAATAATAATAATAACGCTAATAATAATAATATAATATAATATAATATAATATAATATAATGTATATAATATATATAATAATAATATAATTATATATATAAAACAAGCAAACTTACCTGCGAAGCGAAGGAAGGCAGAGGAAGAAACAAGGAGAAGAAAGGAGAAAAAGAAAAGAAGAAAGAAAAAGATTTAGCCATTCGATTTCGATTCCGACTTCGGTATTGTATTCCTTGTTATACGTAGAATTTAATTATGAATTTTAATATGAATTTCAATATTGGGAATATTAAATTAGAAATTCTTCAAAAATTCAAAATTGGCTATTTAGCTATTTAATCGATGAATTTCTTTAGCTAATAGCCTATTCGTAGCGCCGACATTATATTTTGAGAATTTTGTATCGATCCGAGCCGAATTAAAAACGGCAGTATATCGCACCTGCCTGCTTGTTCATACCTTTGCGTATTTTTATTTAATAATCGGGCAATATAAATATTGTGAGGTAGAAGGATTTTATAGCTAGAATATCATATTCTACTAAATATAAAAGTTTGGAGCCCGACGAGTTAATTATAGAAATTAGCTTTTGAATAAGCAGATAGCTCCTGAGAATAAGCATAAAGCTCATCTGATTTGAGTAAATAATGGGACAGGTGTACGTTGGAGGAGATTTGGGTGAAGTTATAAAATCCAGAAAGTATCGGTAGGAGGTAAGCAGTAGGGAATTAAATCTAATTTTAAGAAATTAGGTATTTATGTTGCATGTGATTCTGATTCTGATATTGATATGATATTATGTGGAATCATTTGGTCAGTGCATCTATATATGTATATATGTGTGTGTATATGCATGTGTGAAACTTCGTTTTACGATATTTGATATACGTATTTGATCGTGTTGGTGAATTTATGAAAAGGAGGATAGGTGGGCCGTCTCACCAGCCCTTTTCATTAAATTCACTTATTGACATGCTGCACACATCGCACGATTTATCGGATATGTTTTATGGATCTATCGTTTAGTCGCCGTGTGCGGTAGTGCTAGGCGAGGGCATCATCTGGGGTTAGGATATTCGACCCCGATGTACCGTAACACTTTGGCGATAGTGGACGATAGTAGTCGGACAACTGGGTGACTTAGTCGCACGGTCATTCAGGGATTAGACCCATTGCAGTTGAGACGTATTTGGTCTAATCATTCGTGTTCGGTGTTGTTCCACTCATTGGAGTAGCTACTAGTGAGGTCTACCGGTAGTTTAGGATCCTATGCCAAACTCCAAACGCGATCCCGTTAGGGCGTGCGAGGAGGAGTAGAGTTTCCGGGTTTCCTTCGGGTGATTCCAGGTTGCACGGATTCTACTACGTTACACGGGGTAGGGCTAGACAGGAGGGTCCTATCTTCGCTATCACAGACTATGGGGTGTCTTGTGGTTAATGGCGACAACGCTCGACTATCCATGTATTGATTGCGGGAGTCGTATGGTGGGTATATGGGAGTGACCGGGTGACCGTTATATTATTATGGGTTTACCAGGTCCTTCCTTGAGCCGAGGATTTTCCGGCTATTTATTGATGATAGTCTAGTGAGCTGTTATTATGGAGCCGAGGTTGTTCCGGCTGCTCACTTTGACATATGTATATGGGTATATGTGCATGAGTTGTCGATTTTGACATTATTGTTACATTATTTCAGTATGGGCATGGCATGGCATTTATTTTGCAAATGACGGAAATTAAACTCTATTTTCGAGCATGACATGGCATATTTTATGTTAGTTCTTAAAATGGATTTAATTCTAGACTGCTTTTAAGAAAAATATTTGATTCAGGTACGCATGGCACCTCCGGGACAGGGGACGTCTCGGGAGATAGAAAGACGGGCTGAATGAGTGAACTGCATCTGATGTATTATATGTAAATTCTAACTAGAAAAACCTCCCGTTTTGGGAGTATGTTTTTGTAAATATTTATAAACTTGTTTTTTTGGGAATAATAAAATGCTTATATAATTAATTTTAGCCTTAACACTGTGTTGTGGGGCCCGAAGTAGGAGGTGACGACCTCATGATGCAGTGTGGCGGTAGCATTTCCAGTATGAGCCAACTGGGGGTGTTACAAGTTGGTATCAGAGCCTAGGTTTGATAGATTTTGGCTCTTTGAATTAAAAAGGTTTTGAAAATAATAATGATATTGAATTGGTTTGGTGAGGTTTGGGTTTGCGGGTGCATTCATGTTAATGTGATCTATCTTTTATTGTTATGCTTGGTTTAGCTGTGTGCTGAATTGATATTGAATCAGGAAAAATTGGGGGCAGTATGTCGAATTCTCGAGGTGGTGGTGTACGTAGGGCTATTCAAGGCCCAGAGTTTGATCCTTCGTCTGATGAGTCACAGTATCCTGTGCCAGCGCATGTACCAACAGAGGCACCTAGTCAGGATTTCTTTCGGTAGTTTATGGCCGCGATGATGCCTCAACAGAGGAGTTTCATTGATGCTGTGATGCGGCATAACCCACCAACATATTCTGGTTCAGTGGAGCCAGGAGTCCTTGAGTTTTGGGTTGAAAAGATGGAAAAATATTTCGTGTTGTTCAGGTTCCGCCAGATCAACGAGTTAATATTGGAGCCTATTTCTTGGAAGGCCGAGCAAATCGGTGGTGGTTAGGTGAAGAAGCTGCAGGTGTAGACCAAGTGGATATGACTTGGGATGAATTTAAAGCAAAGTTAAAGGCTAGGTTTATACCGTCGCATATTCGAAAAGCGAAGAAGCAAGAATTGCTGGACTTAAAGCAGGGCTCGATGTCAGTTGAGGATTATTTTGTGAAGTTTAATGAGTTGGAGACGTATGTTCCTGACTACTTTTCCTGTGAGCGAGACAGAATTGACCATTTTGTAGACGGGTTGCAACACAGAATTCAAGAAGCTTTAGCGGTGTTGGATATCAGTTCATTGTATGAGGCTTACGAGCGTGCTGCCCGATTTTATCAGAAGCAGGAAGTCAGACAAAAGGAGAGTGAGAAGGAAATAGGTTATCAACATCAGGTTCGAGATAAGGGAAAAGCTAAAGTGGAGGATGAGCCCAAGGGTAAAAAGAAATGGTGGCAAATGTTCAGGTCTGGGCCATCGTATAAGGGGATTTCGATTAATGAACCGAGTCAGGAGAGGTCTCAGCAATCGGGGGCTGTTTGTCGGCGTTGTGGAACAAGCCACCCAGGTACTCGTTGTGATAAAGTTCCATTGACATGTTTTAAATGTGGTGGTAGTGGTCACATTGCCAGGTTATGTCCAAGTGTGGTAACTGCAAGGGAGTTTCCAGAACCGAGGTTTAGGCCATGGCAGCCGCCGTCTTCGCAGTCACAAGGGAAAGGATTAGGATCATCTTGGCGAGGGGGACGAAGTCAGTCACGTTCGTCATCTAGGCAGCCAGGCAGAGGACCTGACCAGCGTGGACGAATAAATGTTCTTACCCAAGCAGAAGCTGATTATCATCCAGGTGAGGTTTTAACGGGTAGATTTCTGGTTTGCGGTTTTCCTGCTCTTGTGTTATTCGATTCGGGTGCAACGTTCTCGTTCATATCTAAGCGTCTAGTTAGACGATTGGGTCTGAATTCATCAGTAGAAGTGGTAGTGGAAGTTTTACTTCCATCAGGAGAAGTGCTGGAGTGCCGAGAGCTTTATATGCAGATTCCGGTTAGTATTGAAGGGGTTGATTTTGTTACTAACTTGTTGGGCATCAAGCTATCCGAGTTCGATGTAATATTGGGGATGGATTGGTTAGTGGCATATCAAGCTCAATTTGATTGTCGAAAAAGATCAATTTCGCTGGTTGGAGCGATGGGCGAACAGGTGAATTATGCAGGATCTGCCAGACAACCTTCTATGAAGGTAATTTCACCCCTATCATTTCAATCATTTATTCGTAAGGGGTTTCCAGTATATCTGTGTGAGGTAAGAGATTTGACGCAAGGGGAGCAGCGATTGCAAGATATTCCTGTAGTCCGAAATTTTCCTGATGTATTTCCTGATGATATTCCGGGTATGCCACCAGCTCGTGAGGTGGATTTTACTATTGATATTGTGCCGGGTGCTGAGCCAGTATCAAGGGCTCCATACCGGATGGCACCTTTAGAACTAGCTGAACTTAAATTGCAACTACAGGAATTGCTAGATAAGGGTTACATTCGGCCTAGTACATCGCCTTGGGGAGCTCCAGTTTTATTTGTGAAAAAGAAAGATGGAAGTTTGAGGTTGTGTATTGACTACCGTGGACTGAACAAAGTCACGGTGAAGAACAAATATCCTCTTCCGAGGATTGATGATCTATTTGATCAACTGGGAGGTGCAACTATATTCTCAAAGATTGACTTGAGATCTGGATATCATCAGCTAAGGATTGCAGAGCATGACATTCCGAAGACAGCTTTTCGGACTAGATACGGGCATTATGAATTCACGGTTATGTCCTTTGGGTTGACTAACGCCCCGGCTGCGTTTATGGAGTTGATGAATAGAATTTTTCAACCATACCTCGATCAGTTTGTGGTGGTATTTATTGACGATATCTTGGTCTATTCCCCAGATAAAAAGACGCATGCAAAACATTTGCATGTAATATTAAACATATTGCGTGCAAGAAAGTTATATGCCAAGTTATCCAAATGCGAGTTTTGGTTGAAGGAGGTTGCTTTCTTGGGGCATGTTGTTTCTGGAAAGGGTATCTCAGTAGATCCTTCTAAAGTTGCGGCAATCTTGGATTGGCCAAGACCTACCAATCAATCAGAAGTAAGAAGCTTTTTGGGTTTGGCAGGATATTATCGGCGATTCGTTCTTGATTTTTCGAAGATTGCAAAACCATTAACTAATTTGCTGAAAAAGGATGCAAAGATTAACTGGGATCACGAGTGTGAGTCATCCTTTTTAGAATTGAAACATCGATTAACTTCAGCGCCAATTTTGGCTTTACCAGTGGAAGGTGAGGAGTTTGAAGTGTATAGTGATGCTTCGAAGCAGGGATTGGGATGTGTCTTAATGCAGAATCAAAGAGTTATTGCTTATGCATCACGACAACTAAAACCTCACGAAGAGAATTATCCGACACACGACTTGGAAATGGCAGCAGTGGTGTTTGCTTTGAAGATTTGGAGACACTATCTTTATGGAGCCCATTGCAGAATATTTACTGACCATCAAAGTTTGAAATATATCTTCACCCAAAAAGAATTGAATTTAAGACAAAGAAGATGGTTAGAATTGGTGAAGGATTATGATCTTGAAATTGTGTATCATGAAGGCAAAGCAAATGTTGTAGCCGATGCCTTAAGTCGAAAACCAAGGCATAACTTGGGCTTCATGTCGGTTGCTGATGAACTGTGCCAAGATTTAGCGCGGATGGAAATTGAGGTACTTGGACGGGGTATGACTCGGGGATATTTGCAAATGATACAAGTTGAGCCTGAAATTTATGATCGCATTAGAGCGGCTCAAATGGAAGATAATAAAATGGTTGAGCTTGCAGTGAAAGTTCAGTACGGTCAGACTCAAAATTTTAATATTGCTCCAGATGGGAGTCTTCGATTTCACGGGAGGTGGTGTATCCCAAAGGATCGAAATGATTTGAAAGAGCAGATTATGAGTGAGGCTCATAATACACCATACTCAGTGCATCCGGGGGGAAATAAAATGTATCATGACCTACGTCAACATTTTTGGTGGAAGGGCATGAAGAAGGATGTAGCCAAATTTGTTGCACAATGTTTAAATTGTCAAAAGGTAAAAGCAGAACATCATAGACCAATGGGGTTGCTACAACCTTTAGAAGTTCCACTCTGGAAATGGGATTCTATCGCAATGGATTTTGTAACAGGACTTCCAAGGTCAAAGTCGGGAACAGATGCAATTTGGGTGATTATAGACAGATTGACCAAGTCAGCAGTGTTCATTCCAGTACGTATGACTTGGAGTATGCAGAAATTAGCCAAATTATATGTTCATTATGTGGTTAAACGACACGGTATTCCTGAGGTGATCATATCAGATCGTGATCCACGTTTTCAATCTCGATTTTGGCAAAAATTGCAGGAAGCCTTTGGTACTCAGTTGCATATGAGTACTGCATTCCATCCTATGACTGATGGTCAGTCAGAAAGAACTATCCGTATTCTGGAAGATATGCTAAGAGCTTGTGCTATGGAATTTCAAGGGAGTTGGGAAGACCACTTGGATTTAGTGGAATTTTCATATAATAATAGCCATCAAGCAAGTATCGGAATGGCTCCTTTTGAAGCTCTTTATGGTCGAAAATGCAGAACTCCTTTGAGTTGGGACGATATGAGTGATCGACTGATACTGGGTCCGGAAATGATTGAGGAATCGAAAAATAAGATTCGAATTATCAGAGAAAAGATGAAGGCAGCTCAAGATCGTCAAAAGAGTTATGCCGATAGAGCCCGACGTGAGGGTCAATTTCAAAGTGGAGATTTTGTCTTATTGAAAGTATCCCCAATGAAAGGTATTAGAAGGTTTGGGATTAAAGGAAAATTGAGTCCGCGTTATGTTGGACCTTATGAAATTGTCGATCGAGTTGGTGATTGGGCTTATCGGTTGGCACTTCCAAATTCTATGGAGCGTATCCATAATGTGTTTCATATATCTCAGCTTCGTAGGTATGTTGCAGATCCTTCTCATATTTTATCTCCAGATGAGATAGAGCTGAATGAAGATCTTTCGTATGAAGAAAAGCCTCTGTGGATCATGGACACAAAGGTCCGAACCATGAGGAATCGAGATATTCGTATGGTGAAAGTAATGTGGTCCAGACATGGAGTGGAAGAGGCCACGTGGGAAGTAGAACAAGAAATGTTCAAAGCATACCCACAATTGTTTAATTAAGTTGCCTTGTTATGTGTTTGAGTTTAGATTTCGGGGACGAAATCTTTTTAAGGGGGAGTGGATTGTAATGCCCCGATTTCGGAATGTATAAAATAATATTATTATAGCAAATAAATATTTGACAATAGTAATGGAATCAAGAAATTAATATTTTGGGATAAATTATATTTCAATTTTGTATATTAGTTATAATTAAATAGACTGTTAAATGGATAAATATCGATAAATATAAATATAAAATATATAATAATAATATAATAATAAAAGTAATGATGATGAAGATAATATTTATAATAATAATAATAATAATAACGCTAATAATAATAATATAATATAATATAATATAATATAATATAATGTATATAATATATATAATAATAATATAATTATATATATAAAACAAGCAAACTTACCTGCGAAGCGAAGGAAGGCAGAGGAAGAAACAAGGAGAAGAAAGGAGAAAAAGAAAAGAAGAAAGAAAAAGATTTAGCCATTCGATTTCGATTCCGACTTCGGTATTGTATTCCTTGTTATACGTAGAATTTAATTATGAATTTTAATATGAATTTCAATATTGGGAATATTAAATTAGAAATTCTTCAAAAATTCAAAATTGGCTATTTAGCTATTTAATCGATGAATTTCTTTAGCTAATAGCCTATTCGTAGCGCCGACATTATATTTTGAGAATTTTGTATCGATCCGAGCCGAATTAAAAACGGCAGTATATCGCACCTGCCTGCTTGTTCATACCTTTGCGTATTTTTATTTAATAATCGGGCAATATAAATATTGTGAGGTAGAAGGATTTTATAGCTAGAATATCATATTCTACTAAATATAAAAGTTTGGAGCCCGACGAGTTAATTATAGAAATTAGCTTTTGAATAAGCAGATAGCTCCTGAGAATAAGCATAAAGCTCATCTGATTTGAGTAAATAATGGGACAGGTGTACGTTGGAGGAGATTTGGGTGAAGTTATAAAATCCAGAAAGTATCGGTAGGAGGTAAGCAGTAGGGAATTAAATCTAATTTTAAGAAATTAGGTATTTATGTTGCATGTGATTCTGATTCTGATATTGATATGATATTATGTGGAATCATTTGGTCAGTGCATCTATATATGTATATATGTGTGTGTATATGCATGTGTGAAACTTCGTTTTACGATATTTGATATACGTATTTGATCGTGTTGGTGAATTTATGAAAAGGAGGATAGGTGGGCCGTCTCACCAGCCCTTTTCATTAAATTCACTTATTGACATGCTGCACACATCGCACGATTTATCGGATATGTTTTATGGATCTATCGTTTAGTCGCCGTGTGCGGTAGTGCTAGGCGAGGGCATCATCTGGGGTTAGGATATTCGACCCCGATGTACCGTAACACTTTGGCGATAGTGGACGATAGTAGTCGGACAACTGGGTGACTTAGTCGCACGGTCATTCAGGGATTAGACCCATTGCAGTTGAGACGTATTTGGTCTAATCATTCGTGTTCGGTGTTGTTCCACTCATTGGAGTAGCTACTAGTGAGGTCTACCGGTAGTTTAGGATCCTATGCCAAACTCCAAACGCGATCCCGTTAGGGCGTGCGAGGAGGAGTAGAGTTTCCGGGTTTCCTTCGGGTGATTCCAGGTTGCACGGATTCTACTACGTTACACGGGGTAGGGCTAGACAGGAGGGTCCTATCTTCGCTATCACAGACTATGGGGTGTCTTGTGGTTAATGGCGACAACGCTCGACTATCCATGTATTGATTGCGGGAGTCGTATGGTGGGTATATGGGAGTGACCGGGTGACCGTTATATTATTATGGGTTTACCAGGTCCTTCCTTGAGCCGAGGATTTTCCGGCTATTTATTGATGATAGTCTAGTGAGCTGTTATTATGGAGCCGAGGTTGTTCCGGCTGCTCACTTTGACATATGTATATGGGTATATGTGCATGAGTTGTCGATTTTGACATTATTGTTACATTATTTCAGTATGGGCATGGCATGGCATTTATTTTGCAAATGACGGAAATTAAACTCTATTTTCGAGCATGACATGGCATATTTTATGTTAGTTCTTAAAATGGATTTAATTCTAGACTGCTTTTAAGAAAAATATTTGATTCAGGTACGCATGGCACCTCCGGGACAGGGGACGTCTCGGGAGATAGAAAGACGGGCTGAATGAGTGAACTGCATCTGATGTATTATATGTAAATTCTAACTAGAAAAACCTCCCGTTTTGGGAGTATGTTTTTGTAAATATTTATAAACTTGTTTTTTTTGGGAATAATAAAATGCTTATATAATTAATTTTAGCCTTAACACTGTGTTGTGGGGCCCGAAGTAGGAGGTGACGACCTCATGATGCAGTGTGGCGGTAGCATTTCCAGTATGAGCCAACTGGGGGTGTTACAAGTCGCATCAGACGTACTTGAACCGTCGAAAGTAACTTGCCATGGTCCCAATCCAGCATATTCGGCTGAAATATCCGAGGTTTAGACCATTCATGGATGTTCGTCTAAAAAATTAGCAATAGCTTGCCCTTTCACAGCTTTTAGCAGTTCATAGGTGAGTACCAAGGAAGAAAGTTTCAAAGCCCGTTTGACTAATTGACCATGCAAAGCAGGGCTACTCAAGAGGTAGCGTAGAAGATCAAACTTGCATAGAACTTTCATCTCAAATGGCACGATATAATATTCTAGCTTCGTGCACAGGCATAATAGAACGATAAGCATAATTTTTCAATTGACAAATACCTGGTCTCTGCATCATTCAACGATTTACTGAGATAATATATAGCATGCTCCTACCCCCCAGCGTCGTCTTGCCCTAATAAACATCCAATCGTATCTCCGGTAGCCGCAATATATAAACTTAATAGCCGTCCATGGATGGATGGAGTTAAAACCAGTGGCGAGGTCAATCATTCTTAATTTGTTGGGAGGCCTCTTGTTGCTCTCCTCCCCATTTGAAGGGCTATTTATTCCCTTGTAACAATACCGAAAACGCTTTCAGTTTCCCCACTGCATTGGCAATAAAATGTCGCAGGAAATTAACTTTTCCCATCAAACTTTGAAATTCCTTGATGTTCCGGGGAGGTCCAAGTTTCTGGACTACTTTTTCTTTATCTATATCGACTTCAACTCCTTGATGATGAATGAGAAAGCCAAGGAATTGTCAAGCTTGGACACCGAACGCACAGATTCATTTTGAGATCATGTTGCCTCATGTGAACAGAGAATTGACGAAGCTGTTCCAAATGATCATCAAAACTTTGAGATTTAACTACTACTACATCATCAATGTAGACTTCCATGTCTGTACCAATTAAATCATGAAAAATGGCGTTCATAGCGTGTTGATATGTTGCTTCTGCGTTCTTTAAACCAAATGACATTACGATCCATTGGAAAATTCCAATCACACCTGGACATCTAAAAGCCGTCTTGTGTGCATCCTCTTCGGCCAAATAAATTTGATTGTAACCGGAGTAGCCATCCATAAATGATAAAAATTCATATCCTGATGTGGCATCGATAAGCATGTTGGCTATCGGCATTACATATTTATCTTTAGGGGTTGCGAGGTTAAGATTTCTGAAATCATTATACATTCGCAGCTTCCCATTACTTTTCATTACCGGAACAACATTAGAAATCCATTCGGGATAGAGGCAAATTCCTATGGAATTATGTCACAAAAGCCTCTCTATTTCCTCTTTGATGTTTGGGAGGACATCTGGATGAAACCTCCTCGGAGGCTGTTTATGAGGCCTGAAATTAGGTTTTGTCGGTAATCGATGTTCGACAAGATTCTGAGCTAAACCGGGAATTTCGTCGTAGTCCAATGCGAAACAATCCTCAAATACCTCAATTAATTCGAGAAGTCGGTCTTTATAATTCATATCCAATAAGGCACTGACTCAAGTGATCCTGTGTGACACCCCGTCCCGCAAGCCACGCTAAGCCGGGTGTGTCTGGATTGTAGACTGGCCCCGCAAGTCAACACGAGTCCTTCCAGTGCGCTTCTGTCCTCACTCACGCGCACCTTGGGAATAGGGCTCCTGAAAAGGAATGTGCACATATGAGTAGTCTATCAAATCCATTTAACCTATATTCAACTTCGGATGGCCTAATACCAGCTCATCCACAAACGAGAGTTGGCCAACCAACGGCCCAACTCCGGGAATATAACATCCTAGGTCCCGCCTCATTCCCTTAATAAATCTCATTTAGTGGATCATGCGCTTCAGGGGTTTGCCACACGCTGCAAAATTTAAAATAAAATAAACCTACATATGGAATAAAAATAACGTAATATAGAAAAAGTAGGGTCGTCTCCTCAGGGAATTAAAAATGTTTTATTTTCGATTGTTTGATTTATAAATATAATAAAATGGAGGATTTTGGAAGTAGGAAATAAAAATTAAATAACAAACTAAAAACTCTACGACTAAAAGATAAATTCAATAAAAACAAGCTTCCAGTTTAGGAATGAAATTGACAACTTGGGTAGTAGATTTGATCATTGATAAATATTTAATTTTATTGGTTTCTAAATAAATTAGTTATAGTTACCGACACACGCCTAATAACCAATTCTTCCTTAATTTCTTGACAGTCTAGGTATGCCCGTCAACTCCTTCCCTAGTTAGAGTAGAACCCTAGTGACGCCACAAATAATTTACTAGCCTAACCGTCTTGCGAACTAGAAGAGCCTAGTTCAATTTAACAATTAACTATGCGAAATTGTTTAAAATTGATTCCGTGATTTCCCAATGGTGTTTGCCACTAGTTGCTACTTGAACCAAATTAAAATGCAATTACGGATGCCTAATTTAGTTTAGTAATTAATCCTTAATCCAATTGAAATACCTGGCCATAATACCCAACCAAATAAAAGATTATAACTCAAAAAAATTAGAAACCACAGAAATACTTAGGAACCAAAGAAATATCATAAATCAAAACATGTCTAATCTCCCAAATCAATACCAAGTTGTTTTCCACTCCTAGACTAGAAAAGTAAACTACTCTCTAATCAATAGGAGGAAGAACAAAGGAAAAGGAAGCAAATACAGACATCATCTGAGATTGATGTTGGTAGGGGTAGGACTCGAAATCTTCTTGGAAGAATCTTTCTCCTTCTTGCCCTTGCACGGTTTCTCCCTGAGACTTTTCTGCACGGTGTTCTCCTCGCAAGTGGAATAAAATGGCGCCTCCCCCTTCTTTCTTTCCTTTATATTTGCCCTAATTTTGTAAAAATTGGCCTTTGGACCTTTTTGTTCTCTTTTCCCACTAATTCTATCAATTTTATTATTTTTCTCCTGCAAATCATAAATAAATAATATATACCCAAATCAGGTAGCATCTAATCAAAATCAACTAAATATCGTAAATATATAAATATTTAACGCATGCGATTTATGGCTATGAAATCTCCCCACACCTAGATCATGCTTGCCCTCAAGCATAAATTCTAAACAAGCCAAAAGAAATCGCAGGCGATTCAATATGACAAGAAAATCTAACTCAACCAAATCAATCGGAAGTTCAACATATCAAGCTAAGTCAACCTCATAGGATAAAGTGTATGCGCACATGTTCCCTGAAAGAAATAAATTTGTATAATCAGCTAACGCTCAAGTAGTGCGACAAAAGATTATCCCATAGGCTTGAATGAAAATCAAATCTCCCTTGCTTAAGATACTCGAATCTAACATCAAGAATCAAATGGACTTTTTTTTTATAAAGGTTGTAGCGGGGCTGATGGTTAGGGGTAGAAAAAAGGATATGCGAAGGCTAAAATATGTTAGAAAAGAACACAATAAGAACACGATGCTAGCATATGAAAAACAGTTTGGCATAAACAATGAAACCCTTACTTTATTCACTATCCAAACTTTAGTAACATAATTATATCAATAATACTTAATCAAGATTTAATTATTTTTATTTTTATTTTTTTGGCGCCTTTTATTTTGGCCTATTTTTTTAAAATATATATATATACGCTTTTCACTACCCGTTCTCATTGAAGCAAACACTTCTGAATGCACTATTTATTTATACTCAAACTTTGTTTCTAATTAGTGTCGAACAAATAAGGTGCATCACAACGTGAAATTAAGGTAATTTTTTCTAATATAGGATTCAAATCGGAGAAGGCTTAATATCAAAAGAAGGGTATGAAGCTAAAAGACGGTTTAATATAGAAGAAAAATAGGCTAAAAAGTCTCAAATTGGCTAACTAGGGGAAATATATTTTGCTGGGTGATAAAGAAAGGCTCAATGGGTTACCTAATGCCCTTATCATTTTCAAAATGCAAGACTCGATAGTTGCAAGTTCAACATGCATAATCACTCAAGTTCTAGGTCATCTAATTGAGCACTACAAATCACATAAGAAAGAATTTCCAAAAGCTTGATAATATATTGTTTATTTTCTAATGTAAGCTTTTTGAATATATACTCGAATTCTCACAGGGTTCAAATGTCAACCTGGCCCAACATATTTCAAATCCAAAGTCCTCAATTATGTCAGACTAACCTATCACTCAAACTACCTTTGACTCACTTCAGACAAATCTTAAAAACTTGTGAAAGAACAGCAAATCAGGCATGAAAAGTAGCACAAAATGAAGAATTTGCCCAAAAAATTTGCATTACTCTCTCCTCACACCTAAAGTAAACATTACCCTCAATGTAAAAAAAAGTAAAATAAGAGAGAAACTCCCCTATAGTCCGTAGGATTGGTGTGGCTGCATGTTTTTGCTTTGGATTCCAAACTTCTTCAAGTTGATTGTGTGTCTCTTTTAGCCAACACCAAAATTGATAGCTCAGGGAGGAAGAGGAAGAAAGATGACGGCTTTTTTTTTTTCAAAATTCTCCAAGAAGTTCCCTACAAAAAAATAAAGAATCCAAATCAAATAGGCGATGTTTAAAAAAAAAAAAAGAAAATAAAAAAAATAAAGCTAGAAAACTTGGGTTGTCTCCCTAGAAGCGCCTTTCTTTAACGTCTTTGGCTAGACGCAGTTACCATATTAGCCATTAGGTAAAACTACTTCAGACCGTTTTACCCACTTCAATATTTGTCTTTTACTTCCATGTTTAAAACGATGAATACTCACAAAAAATTTCTTTGTAAGATTCACATTATCATTTAAGTGAGCAGGCTCCAACTGATTTGGATCCAGCGCCAATTTTATGTCTAGGATAGATTTCTCTTGCAATCTCAAGACTCCCTGCATACTTTTGTCAATAACATTCACACTGCACAACACACTAGATTTTTCAAGGTATTTTATAGAATCAGAAATATTAAATTGCAATTTCTCACCATCAAATTCCATAGAAAGTATACCTTGTTTCACATCAATTTTAGTTTGTGCAGTGCACATAAATGGTCTACCTAGTAAAATCGGTGCAGGATTTGGAGAATTATCATCATGCATGTCAAGCACATAAAAATCAACCGGAAAAATTAATTCGTTAACTTGCACTAGGACATCTTCAATCATTCCTTCATGGTAAGCATTTGTCCTATCGGCTAATTGTATAATAGTTTCAGTTTCTTTTAAAGGCCCAATGTTCAAAGACTAATAAATAGACTTAGGCATTACATTAATTACAACTCCTAAATCTAACATTGCTCGTTTAATCTCCAACTTACCTATCTTACAAGGAACCGAGAACATACGTGGATCTCCACATTTAGGAGGAAACTTACGTTGTAAAATGGCAGATATGCTCTCGCCAGCAATAATTCATTGGTCTCTACGTAGTCTTTTCTTGTTCGCACGAAGATCCTTCAGAAATTTTGCATACTTCGGCACTTGCTTGATCGTATCCAGTAAGGGTATGTTCAATTCCACCTTTCGAAACATCTCCACCACCTCCTTATTTTTGTCATCCTTCTTTGGTTTCGCCAACCTGCAAGGAAACGGTGCAACATTAGTTTTAGTATTAGTAGATGTATCGAAAGTTACCTTGTTCGATGTTTCAGTGGTGGCTTGCTCTATTTCTTTCTCAATATCTTTCTCATTCTTGCCTTTTGGAACTCCAGCTTTTGATACTTCTAAATCTTTGCCATTTTGTATAACAATCAAGCTCACATTCCTCGGGTTAGAGTCGGGTTGTGAAGGCAATCTGCCTTTTTCTTTTGACTTCATCTCGCATATTTCATCGATATTTGACTTACTTGTTCTTCCAAGTTCCTTATGCTATTCCGAGTTTCCTGTTGAAATTGCAACATATTAGACGCCATAGTTTTCATCATATTCTCTAAGGAACTACTCGAAATCGTTTGAGCTGGTTGTGGAGGGTGGTTAGGTGCTGGAAATCCTCCCGAATGATCTCCAAAGTTAGCTTGTTGATTCCCATACTTTAAGTTCGGTTGATCTTTCTATCATATATTGTAGGTATTCGAGTAGTGGTTGTATGCTCTTGGGATGAATCCTGCAGCACTAACATCTACTTCTCGACTCAAGGTGGGACAAATATCCGTAGGATGTTCCGAACTTGTGCAGATTCCGCAAGTCTTAACTTGTGCCTTTCCTTCATAAATTGTCGAACAAATGAAGTCAATTCAGTCAATTGTTGTTGAATAGAACTCAACTCGCTTGCTTCTTTAACTGCTACTGCTTCTCTTGGTCCAAACTATTGTGAGTTCATCATCATACTGTTCAGTAAGTCCCACACCTCTCTAGGAGTTTTGTTCATCAAGGCCCCTCCACTTGCTGCGTCTATGAGTCTCCTGTTGATGAAAGTCAATCCTTCATAGAAATATTGAATCAGTAATTGCACGGGGATTTGATGATGGGGACATCGAATAAGTAAAGCATTAAAGCGGTCCCAATATTCAAATAAAAACTCACATGTATGTTGTGTCATTCCGCATATCTCTTTCCTCATGATCGCAGCTCGTGAAGCGGGAAAGTACTTTCCGAGAAACTTTCTTTTCATGTCAATCCATGTAGTGACGCTTCCGGCAAGTAGATTGAATAGCCAATCTTTTGCCGCGTCTTTCAGAGAGAAGAGAAAAGCGCGAAGCTTGATTTGATCTTTTGTTACTCCTTGTGGCTTCATACTTGTGCAGACGACTTCAAATTCTTGAAGATGCTTATGTGGCTCTTCTCCTGAAAATCCATGAAAAGAAGGCAACAAGTGTATTAGTCCAGATTTTAATTCAAAAGCATTGTTACCGTCTACCATCGGGTATGTGATGCAAAGATGCTGCTGGGTCAAGTTAGGGGCTGCCAGCTCCGTTACTGTCCTTTGATCCATCTCTTCTTCTAGCTCCAACTCGTCAGAACTCAAATCGATAGATAATTTCAAAGCTAAAATCTTTTAGGCAATGCTCCCTAGTTTCTTTTCTTAATCGACGTGCAGTCTTCTCAATCTCGGGGTCAAAAATCAAGTTTCATGTGCGATTAGATCTCGACATAAACTAGAAAAAGTCATATTTTTAAAAATAATATAAAACAACCAAAGATAAATTGAACCAATTAGAATTCCCCGGCAACGGCGCTAAAATTTGACAAGCGTTTGTCATACGCTGCAAAATTTAAAATAAAATAAACCTATTTCTGCAATAAAAATAACGTAGTATAGATGAAGTAGGGTCGTCTCATCAGGGAATTAAAAAGGTTTTATTTACGATTTTTTTATTTATAAATATAATAAAAGCGAGGATTTTTGAAGTAGGAAATAAAAAGAAAATAACAAACTAAAAACTCTACGACTAAAAGATAAATTCAATAAAAACAAGCTTCCAGTCTAGGAATGAAATTGACAACTTGGGTAGTGGATTTGATCATCGATAAATATTTAAATTTATTGGTTTCTAAATGAATTAGTTATAGTTACCGACACGCGCCTAATAACCAACTTTTCCTTAATTGCTTGACAATCTAGGTACGCCCGTCAACTCCTTCCCTAGTTAGACTAGAACCCTAGTGATGCCACGAGGAATTTACTAGCCTAACCGTCTTGTGAACTAGAAGAGTCTAATTCAATTTAACAATTAACTATGCGAAATTGTTTAAATTGATTCCATGATTTCCCAATGGTGTCTGCCACTAGTTGCTAGTTGAACCAAATTAAAATGCAATTACGGACGCCTAATTTAGTTTAGCAATTAATCCTTAATCCAATTGAAATACCTGGCCACAATACCCAACCAAATAAAAGATTATAACTCAAAGAAATAAGAAACCACAGAAATACTTAGGAACCAAAGAAATATCATAAATCAAAACAAGTCTAATTTTTCAAATCAATACCAAGTTGTTTTCCATTGCTAGACTAGAAAAAGTAAACTAAAGAACAAAGGAAAAGGAAGCAAAGAGAAACTGGAAATCTTCTTGGAAGAATCTTTCTCCTTCTTGCCCTTGCATGTTTTCTCCCTGAGACTTTTTTGCACGGTGTTCTCCTCGGCAAGTGGCATAAAATGGCGTCTCCCCGTTCTTTCTTTCCTTTATATTTTCCCTAATTTTGTAACAATTGGGCTTTGGACCTTTTTGTTCTCTTTTCCCACTAATTCTATCAATTTTATTATTTTTCTCCTGCAAATCATAAATAAATAATATATATCCAAATCAGGTAGAACCTAATCAAAATCAACCAAATATCGCAAATAATATAAATATTTAACGCATGCGATTTATGGCTATCACGGGCTACGGTACTGTTCGTCGTCTTCCGCTTCATCAAAGTCTGGGTAATAGAAACTGATCATCCTCTATATCATATATTTCTGCCTTATCACAAGGGAAAGATGTTTGGACCATTTGAAAGAATCGATCCTATCATAAATCTTCTCATTCTTGGGCCGTTATTTGGCCTTAGATTGAACTTCAAACCTTCTTGTCGTGAAGTTGTACTCGTCCCACAATTCAGCTCCTTGGAACATCATAGATAAAGGATATACTTCTGAGCAGTCGAAAATTGCTTCTAACGCGTGTATTTCCGTCAATGGATCAGATTTTGCTTCAATGACCTCGATGCAATCTCCTTTCCAAAACATTATGCACTGGTGCAAAGTTGACGGAACGGATTGAGAAGTATGAATCCAATCTAGTCCAAGGATCACTGAGTAAGTAGGCTTTCCTTCAACGAAAAAGAAAGCCATTGCATCTTTTCTAGATCCTACAGCCACTTCTGTCACCACGACGCCGGCGGCTTTGTGCGCGTTGCTGGTTAAATCGGTGGTGCGCATTCCAATTGGTACCAAGTCGTTTCGATTCTTCCCAATCTGCAATGTTGATAATGTCTTTAAATTAACTGATGTCCCACCATCTACCAGTACCTTGCTGATTCAACGCCCGTCTAGCATTACGGTGAGGAATAATGGTTTTAAATGGCGCGATTCACTTTCCGTCGGTTTCCGAAAAATTATGGACTCTGAATGAGAATCTTCGTCTGCATTTTCCTCAATTATCCACATAACAGGGCTGTCATTTTCCAACCAAATATCTCCTTCTAACAATTGGGGTTGATCATGAGGAGCGGCAAATTCGCCGAGTAAAAAACCGATAGCATTTATCGCAAAATTTCTTTGCAATCAAAGTGCACGGTTAAAATCTTTACCTGAAACAATGACATCAAAACTCACTTCAGAAAAGTTGTCCTCCTGAGAAATGCTGCTCCTCAACTCCTCTGGGCCGAACACAAAAGTTGTCCTCCTGAGAAAAGTTGACGTCAAGCTGAGGGTCGATGTCATTTGCAGCAGCTCGCACGCTGCTACCTTGCTACTTTGGTCTCCACTCTTATTGGTTATTTTGTCGTTGTCCAAAAACTTTGGGCTGACCATGCTGCTCGGTGGCCGTCTTGTCTGAATATTCAATTTTCGTCTTACATAAATATTGTCCATACACTTCTTCGTGGATTACCTTTTCAGGTGCAATGGCTGTTGTTGATGTTCTAAAGTTTTGGTTCGGTCCTAGCTCGTTTGCTAACCTTGCTGCTTGATATCGACATTGTCAATGCCTCTTTTGAGATTGAGATAATTGCTGATATTTTTTCGGAGCTTGATTAACAGCCCAGCTGCCATCTACTGGAATTTTTTGAGGTTTCTGAGTTGAAGGTAGAGTGATCACAACTTGTCATACCGATGAAATTCGCCAAATTTTTCCATCCTTCTTGAAGCTTACTTTAGCGAAAATATTTGATGATGATAATCTGTCCCATGTAGGATTTCGATATGGGGGATGATGCGCCCTCCCTACATACTCGATAAACGGCCTGCGCAATGCTGAATTTTTCTGATATTTTCCTCCTTGTGACGCATGCGATTGCTGCCTCCTCCTGGGATAAAATCCTACTGCATTTATGAAAGAAGGATCGATGTCTATTTTCATGTCCGCCCGATCAGAAAGAGGTAACCACCCTTCTTTTTCGCCTTTTGTACTGCATTAGGAAACGCTAAACAATTTCCAACCGTGTGGCCAAAAATTCCATGTGACTTGCAATTCGATGAGATATTTGGAGAACTTGAGGGCCTACCGCCTCGGCGCCATACAGACCATTATCAAATTGACATCCAGAACAAGCCCTGTGTCGGTCCGCCCTTCAGGCTTACAAACTCCCCAGCGACTTTTCAGTCTACTATGAACGACTTATTTTGGCCCTTCCTACGCAGGTTTGTTCTTGTGTTCTTTGATGATATCTTAATCTATAACCGAAACTTAACAGAACATCAGGGGCACCTGGAACAAGTCCTAAGGGTACTGCAACAAAATCAGTTCAAGGCTAACAAAAAGAAGTGTTCCTTTGGCTGCCTCCAGGACGAATATCTGGGTCACGTCATATCAGCAGCAGGCGTGAAGATGGATCCAACAAAAGTTAATGCAGTGGTGGACTGGCCTCGGCCACGGTCTGTGCGGGAGGTGCGCGGGTTCTTGGGCTTGACAGGCTATTACCGGGGATTCATCAAGAATTATTGTATAATTGCGAAACCACTCACCAGTTTGCTGAAGAAGGAAGCAGCCACGGTATTTGAATGGACGAACGAGGCGGAGGCCGCCTTTTCCTCCCTCAAGAGGGCACTCACAGAAGCGCCGGTGTTGGGCATGCCAAATTGGCGGAGCCACTTTGTTATCGAATGTGATGCATCGGGTACGAGAGTGAGTGCAGTCTTAATGCAAGAAGATCGTCCTATTGCTTATTAAAGTAAATCCTTGGCTGATCGAACCCTTACCAAGTCTGCTTACGAGCGTGAATTGATGGGATTAGTTCTTGCAGTACAACATTGGAGACCTTATCTGATGGGCTGTCGCTTTACAGTTCGCACCGATAACAACAACCACAAACATCTTTTGTCACAGAAGATTGTAACCCCTTCACTACAGATTTGTGTAGCAAAGTTGATGGGGTACGACTTCACAATCGAATATAAGCCTGGACGCACCAATTAGGTTGTCGATGCCTTAACGAGACGTGGGAGCGATGGTATGTTGGCGGCTATTAGCGGACCAGTGTGGGCTGAAATACATGATGTTTTGGAAGAGCAGCACGACGACGAATACATTCAGAACATTGTGAAAGAGTTACATGAGGACCCAAACAGTCGCAAGGGATTTGAACTACGAGAAGGACGACTATTTTTTAAAGGCAGGTTAGTATTAGCATCTAATTCAGAGTTGATTACAAAGCTACTGCATGAGTTTCACGACACACCTGAAGGCGGCCACTCGGGAGCCCTTCGAACCTATCGCCGTCTAACCCACAATGTGTATTGGAAAGGGATGATCCAACGAGTGCAAGAATATGTGGCTAAATGCTTAGTCTGCCAAAAATCGAAATATGAAGCCATGTCATATGCGGGGCTGTTGCAGCCCCTACCCATTCCCAACCTAGCGTGGGAAGATGTCGCAGTGGATTTTATTACTTGTTTGCGCAAGTCGCGAGGACATACATTTACCTCGGTGGTGGTAGATAGGTTATCAAAATATGGGCATTTTGTGGCATTGAAACCACCGATTACCGCACATGGAGTGGCTGAAGCATTTGTTCGCAAGATTGTCCGACTTCATTGTATCCCGAGGTCCATCATTAATGATCGGGATCCAACATTTGTTAGTTTCTTTTGGAGAGAATTGTTCAAGTTGTCCGGCACTCAGCTGAAATATAGCTCCGTTTATCATCCTGAAACCGATGGGCGAATGGAGGTGCTGAACAGGGTGTTAGAGACATACCTGCATTCTTTTACATGCGAGCAACCAAAAAAGTGGCTGCCTTGGGGTAGAGTACTGGTATAACACTTCTTATCAGACAACGGCTAGGTGTCAACTTTTGAGGTAGTGTATGGACGCCCTCCACCTTCCATACAACGAACATTACCAGGGAAGTGCCAGGTGGCAGAAGTGTCAGAAACTTTGCAAAGTCGCAATGAATTATTATGCCGGTTGAAGGAGAATCTAAGGGAGACACAGGCACAAATGGTAAAGTATGCTAATCGTTCTCGACGCAATGTGAGTTTTGAGATAGGGGATCGGGTGTTCCTTAAAATGTGCCCATATAAGCAGACTTCCTTGGAAAAGCAATCTCATTGTAAACTCTCCGCAAAGTTCTACAGCCCTTTTATTATAGAAGCACGTGTTGGACCAACTGCGTATCAGCTTGCCCTACCAAATTCGAGCCGCATACATCTGTCTTTCATGTATCGTAACTAAAGAAGGTTGTGGGAGATCACCCTATCTTATCACTTCATTTATCCGTTAAACTTATTTTTACTTTTTTTTTTTTTTCATCTCTTAAATTTAGCTTACTACTAAATTTGGAAAAATTAAAATTTCAATGTTTAATTATTATCATTCATTCAATACTTATTTAATTAGTATTACATTAACTACATTCTCTCATCATCCAAATAAATTACTATTTTACATTTTTTAAAATACCTCGAAGTAGAGGCCGATCAAGAGAAGGGGCATTAGGAGACCCCTCGTTTTATTTTATTATATTATTTTTAGTTATTTTTTAAGATATATGTATATATACTATAAAAATAATAATCTCCCGTCCCACCAAATTATGTCTAACTTTCCCTTTTTAGAGGTCTCACCCAATTATATCACTTTCTATAAAAGACAACCTTAAAAAAACACTACAAAAAAATAATATATTTGTAACGGAATTCCGTCCCTGAAGTTCACGTAGCTAACGTAATTCTATTACTAATTCCGTCTCTAATGTCATTAGTAACGGAAAAAGTAGATTTAGAGACAAAAATGTTTTGTTACAAAAATAATTTTTTCTTGTAGTGAAATCTAATAACAATTAATTTTTAACTAATTAAAATTATCTATTTAAGGTGTATTTGTTTATTTTTTTAGTTTGAAGCATTTTTATGTTAGGTAGAAAGTGTGTCTATAAAATAAATAATAATATTTCATGTTGAATTATTAATTTGTTTATAAGTGTGTAGAATATATACTCTTTCCATTGGGTTATATTTATTTTTTTTATCATTGTATTCAATATTAAAAATATTTTTATATTTATATAATTTATTATACAAGTATTATTATATTAGTATTATAATAATTAATATTGAAATATCAACACGCAAAATGTAAATATATCGGTTAGAGCCGAACAGTCGGAGTATTATATATTATGTCAACGCATGTTATATTATATTTTTTATAATATTAATTGTGAAACGTGTGAGAAGTTTTATTGTGGGATGAACACATAATGATTTTTTACTCATAATTGTTTCAATAATTTATTTTAATTGAAGGTAAAAAAGAATATCAAATTTCCGAAATATGATGCATATGATACTAACAAAATATTAAAAAATTCAAACTTTCGGTATACTTAAAATCTTAATACGGTATGATATTGTATAAAAAAATTTCGATGCCGTATCAATTGACATTATCGATGTATCTCAAAATACCAGAAATTCGGTATACAACGAAATTACCATATATTATGTTGATATTTTGGTATTCGATATATCAATATGTAAGTAAATAAATTTGGTATATTGATACAAAAGTTATTATTTTTTATTTTTTCTAAATTATAAAATTATTTTTAATTTTGATATTTCGAAACAATATATAGTGATATTTTCGGTATACTGAATTATTATTACGGTACGATATACATATTTGTTACCAAATTTTTAGCATACTGACTTTTCGGTATGATGTCGGTATATTTTTTCATATAACGAAAGTTTCAAAACGGTATACGATATAACTCGGTGTTTTCATTATGTCATACCAAGTAATCCTTTTTTTAAGTTACATTTAATTAGAATAGACAAAAGTGAGTATGATCCATAAAAGGCTAATCAAACAACAAACAAAATACAAAAATAAGAGTCAAGTGGGGTTGGGCTAAGCAAATTTTTTGTAAAAAATTAAAAAAAAAATTAATTATTTTAACTATATATTTCATAATTAATAAACATACAATAACATCTTAATCTTTATTAGTCTTGGAAATTCCAAATCTTTATTAGTCTTCGAACTTCCAAACCTATTTTAATTAGTTTCGGAATTTTTCAAACCTATCAAACAATTTTAATTCACCCGCCTAAATTTTTCTCAATTTTTTTTTTCAAAACTTAAAAAAAAATAAAATCAAATCAAATCAATTACTCCCTCCGTCCCTTAACAATCTATCCATTTTTCCATTTTAGTCCGTCCTATAACAAAGTATCTGTTTCCTTTTTTTAGTAATTGTACTATCTACCTAACATTACAAATACCCTTAAATTTACAATATATTAGACAAATGCCATTACATTTATATCATACAATACTAATAGGGTTAATTTAGTCTTTTTACCTTTATTTCTACTTTATCTCAATATAATAATAATATTTCTAAAACTCCGTGCAAAAAGCAAATGGATAGATAGATTGGGGATGGAGGGAGTATAAAATTTCCAGCCTAAATTACCCTACCCTAATTTTTAAACTTTTCAATATTAAAATTCTTTCTTTAAAATATATTTAAAACTTAAAAACCCTAAAGAAATTCAAATATAATTTTTTTCCGCCTAAACTGTCCTATACTAATTTTAAAAAATTTCAATATTAAAATTTTTTCTTTAAAATAAAATTCAAAACTTAAAAACCTTAAAAAAATTCAAATATAAAATTGGCAGCCTAAACTACCTTACCGTAATTTTATAAAATTTCAATATTAAAATCATTTCTTTAAAATAAAATTCAAAAACTTAAAAAACCCTAAAAAAAATTCAAATATAAAATATTTCGCCTAAACTTTCCTATACTGATTTTAAAAAATTTCAATATTAAATTCTTTCTTTAAAATAAAATTCAAAACTTAAATACCCTAAAAAAATTCCAATATAAAATTACCCGCCTAAACTACCTTACCAAATTTTATAAAATTTCAATATTAAAATGATTTCTTTAAAATAAAATTCAAAACTTAAAAAACCTAAAAAAAATTAAAATACGAAATTTTCGGCTTAAACTACCCTACGATAATTTTTAAAAAAATTCAATATTAAAATTTTCCTTTAAAACAAATTCAAAACTTAAAAAATTACAGAAAAATTCAAATATTAATTTTTTTTTTAAATATATATAAAAACATAATAAAATCTGTAAAAAAAACTCTACAAATACCACTGCCTACTCCCAAATTAATTATTCACCACAGTTATTTTTCTTCATTAATTCGTCCTCCCCTTTTTTTCTCCATTTACTCTCTCAATCTTCTCCTCCCCTCCGCCTACCACTCGGTGGCAAAGGCGGCGGCGGCAAAAGTGGCTGAGGCGGAGACTTCCTCTTTTTTTTTTTTTTTTCTCCGTGATACGTGCTATATATGATAATATTTTGCTATATTTTGGACAATTTTTCGATGAAAAATTTTGTTTATGTGCTCCGTGTTTTTATTGTGTAATAAGTTTTAGGGAGTTTGACAAATTTTGGGCATATTTGAGTGACAAAACAGAACGCACGAAGACTTTAGGCGTGATCATGCAGCACAATGTGGGAAATATGGAAATTACCAAGAAGTCCTCCGGGGTTAATCGGCAATTGAGAGAATGTTAGGCGATTTAATTTCAAAGGGGATGTAATTACGAAGATGAGAATTAAGAAACATGATTTGCAATTGAAGAAGAGAAAGAGGAAGCACACTACCACGTTCTACCACGACACCAATTTCTTAAAAAGAGAAGGGAGAAACAAGAACACGGCATAGCAGAGAACTTCGAGAAGCAGTGCAGACGACTTTTCGGGGCATTATTCTTCTATTCTAGTCTTGTTCTTCCTTTTCTATTTCTAAATAAATGAAGGCAGGATGAACTTTTTGAATTGTTTCATGTTTTCAATTTCTATGAATTGCGAGTATTTTCATTTATAACCTAGGTGTGAATTGATGTTTGTGATTGAATTTGCGAGACTTGGTTTTGGTTGAATTTGGTGTTTATTGATGTTGGGTATTTCTAATTCTTCTAATTTACGAGTGTAGGAATTTTAAATTGATTATTGCGGATTTATTGATTTAATATTTCATAGCTGTATTGGAGATTGATACCCGTAATTGTGCAATCTTCCAATTGATGTAGCGACCTAAGGAAGAATACTCCAGGGAAGAATCAGAATCAGTTTTGAACAAATCTTGCGTAGGAATTTTGTTAAATTGAATTGGGTCTTTCTAGTCCTTAATGCTGTCGAATCTCATACCTAGGATTCTCAATCGATTAGAAAATAGCTAACAGTCGTACCTTAGCTATCGACAAAGTAAGGAAAAGTTGGTTGTGAACGCATGTAGGTCAACTATAATCAATTTATCCAATTGGTTAATGAACATGATTTTTAGTTGATGAACAAATTTTATATTCCGAATAGAAAATTCATGCCTATGCTAGTGTTTAATCATATTTGATAAACCAATCGTCTTGTATTTTAGTTTTTTTTTTTTTAATTGAGAAATTTCTTTATTTAGTGTGATAATAAAATCCCCATTTATAAATATATAGTATAATTAAAAATAATTGAGGTGGAGCCATTTCTTTTTCTTCTTCTCTGGCAGCGGTGACGGTGACGGGCGCAAAAATGATAGCGGAAGCAGCGGCTGACACGGAGCCCTCCTTTTTCTTTTTCTTCTTCTCCGGCAGGCGGCGGCACCGGGGACTGGTGGCGGCACCGGAGGCTTCTTCTCCGGCACGGCGGCGGTAGCCTGTGCTCCTTTTTTTTTTCTTTCTTCTCCGGCAGGGTGGCAGCGGCAGCGGAAGCTGCAGCACCGGGGGCAGTTTCGGAATTTTCTCCGGTGACGGTGACGGAGGCGCTCCGGCGGCAGGTGGCGGAGGAAGCTGCAGAGACGGGTGCGGTTTCGGAATCTTCTCTGGCGATGGTGGCGGCGGCGGCGCAAGCTGCATTGGCGGGGCGGTTTCGGAATCTTCACCAGCGATGGTGGCGGCGGCGCTCTGGCTGGGCAGGCGGCGGCCATGGAATATTATATATATATATATTTCTTTCAAAAAAAATTAAAATTTTCTTTGGAATTATTCAATGCTATTGGCATAATATATTTTTTTTGAATAGAAAATTTTTAAATTTGCTTCGGAATTTCCGTATCGATTTTCATTAGTCTCAGAATTTTCGAAACTATCTAGCCTCGGAATTTCTGAAGCATCTTGCTTCAGAAATTTTGATACTATCCGAATTAGCCTCGGAAATTCCGAGACAACACAAATTGCCGCAAAAAATTAGTCATGGGACCTTTTCCGAGACTATGTCCGAGGCTAATGGGAAATAGGTTCGGAAGCAGTTAATTTTCTGAACCAATTTTCCGAGACAAAACATAAATTTTTTGGTAGTATTTTTACTTTTATTATTTTTTAATAAAATATTTATTTTCCATAATGTTTGTGTCGAACCAAAATAAATTGTTTTAACTGGATGTTTGTATATATATATTGACAAAGTATACGTTAGTATAAATATAATATGCATATTTATTAGGGTAGGGTGTTTTCATTCGCACTTTGATGGTTGGGGTTCATTATTATTCTATTTTAATAGTAAGCGTGCTTAGCACAAATGTGGATTTGACACATCAAAGATGTAATTCTATTATACAAGTAAAATATTATTCATTCAAGTTTACATTTTGAAAATGATATTATATTTAATATTTACCTTTGAATTTAAAATATTACATTAAAAAAAAAAAATTATTTTCTATATAGGGACTCTACTATTTACCTCGTAACTGATCTTAATTACAAGTGATCGAAGCTTTAGAACCTCTACCCAAAATACCCTGATAATTACATCACATATAACCTCCAAGCATATTGTAAACAAAATTGTTTACACTACAATTTTGGAGACTTTGGTACTATTCAACTTTTCAAAACAATCACACCAACTATTTTTTTTTTTTCTCTTACAAAATATCAAATCAAATATTAAACGGGCGGAAAACTATTTTGTTCTGAGCCTCCCCGTTAAACCGGTTTGGTTTAGATCCGCCTAGGCTGGTCCGGCTAGACCCTTCACAGACCACAATTTTGTGTCTTTGAACTCTTTTTTGATGACATATTTATTCCTGCATAAAATAATGTAATTCTCAAATTTTGAAAATGTTAACTTAAAATAAAAGTTACAAATAAAAACTTATTGACATTTTATGTTTAGAAATACAAATTTTTAATTTAAAAAGAAGTAGAAATTGTTTTAAAATAGTGTCATTCTCAATACACAATATTATTAGATACTTTAGGGTTGGGTATCTATATCAAGTGTATAGCAATACTACTACGTAAATATCCATAACTTTTTAACAAATTGGTTAAATAATTTTTCTCAATTAAAAAAAATATTTGTTTGTATATAATTGACATATAAACTCATAAAAGATATTAAGTAAGTAAAGTAGATGCAAAATTAACCTGTAAATGACAAATTTGTATGAGTCGGTCTTCAGAACATTATTGATAGGATTGCACCTCCGTATATAACAACTTCTCTTACACTCCAATACTAGAAATATTTTCCTCATATGTAATATTTTCATTTGTTTTCACAACTTTTCGAATCTTCTTCTTTATTTATAGACAAACATAACTTATTTATTTAGGTTTTCAAGAAAAATATTTAATTCATCCAATACTTCCTATCTGTTACCTACCAAACATACTTTAATTCACCAATCTACTTGCCAACTATACTCATTAATTAATTACCTACCAACTAAACACATTAATTTACCAACCATATAATGTCTTCAATTTTAAAAATACTTAGTAATTATTAGAAATATAATAATCATAAGCATAAATTTCATTTAGCAAATAAATAATCCCTTTAAGTTGATATAAGGAATAATTTATTAACAATACATGTGACGACTTATGTTCAAGAGAAAAATAAACTAAAAAAAAAAAAAAGCATTAAATAATCAAATAATATACAAAATCTACAATTGACATGTACATAGACCAGATGCTAATCCCCCGCTGTTTGAGTCTAATTTGACTCAATCAGCCTATATAATAAAAATAAATGGCACATTCTTCTATATAGTAAGACATATGTTATGCATAACTATACATTGAATATAATTTCAGTTATTTACCTTTATTATATATCCTAATCGAGTCAAATCAGCAATGGATTCACCTCCATGTAAGCCATACTCACAAACATCGCATTGGTATAATAGCACACTTGTTTCACATCTTCTATATATAGGATGATTAATGCCAGAGTTGTTTGAACATCAGTTCCACACACATCATCGGCATTAAAAATTTAAGACGTTTTGAGATATTTTTATGCTTCTAAAGAATATTTAATATTTTAAAAAATGACATGGAGATAAATGTATGAATAGAATATATACTCTCATGTTCGTGCAAAAAAACCAGATGAAAGCAAAGAGAAATAAAAGAAACATTGAGCTTTAGAAGAATAATACTTAAACCAATAAGTCAATAATACAATTACTATAAATTTTGATGTCTTACAACCTAAAACTATTTAGTTATGTGGCAAACATACGGAAACATGAGGCATTGAAGTCTTTGATCAACCAAGGACTAGGTTTTTCACAAATAGAAGATATATTAGTGCAAAGATACACTATATATATAAAATATTAAGTATATAATTAAACCAGATAGATCCATAACTCTCTAGAAGCTATAAATCTTTAATAGTTCAAAATTTTGGTGATTAAGGCTAGAAACAATGTAAAGCACATAGACAATTGGCCTCAAAACTTAAATCTCAATCCTAGAATCACAAAACTCATAAACCAAGGTAACAAAAAATTTATTCTACTAATAACAAGCGCAAAAGCCCTTACAAATAATATCCCAGGAACATGAGAAAAATATAAAGAAAATCAACCCAGACGGATGAATATAGGCGGAGTAGGATGGGATGGAAAAAACGATACATGGAGAAAATCGGCGTGTCGGGGAGAAGACTAGGGTTAGGTTTAAAAAACAAGGTTGGGAAGTAGGAAATTTATACCTAAGATGGTAGGTCATTATTTAATGTCTCGATCCAACAACGGACATCAAATCCGAATCTAGTTGGCTTTAATGAATTGGGCCGGCTTAAGCATAAAAGGTTTATCTTAGCCTAAAAGTAATTCATGTGACAAATTCTTAAACAATATACAATAGAAATAAAAGGTTTATTTGGCAATAAAAAAAATGCTTGCATCATTAGTAGGGAACTAAAACCAGCACTATTCTTTAATAGCGCATATAAAATCTATTCACACATGAAAGATTGTTAAGACCAAATAGAATTTGCTACAAGAAATAATAATAATAATAATAATAATAATAGTTGGTAATTCAAATATTTAGCATGTCTCCTCATTAAAAAATATGTATGCCATTTGTGATTTTGTAAAAAAACTAAAAATTTAATACTAAATCAAGACATGTATTATTGTATATATTTTGTGTGCTATAAACACTGATTGACTAATTAGAGTCAGCATATGGACAAAAACCTATTATAGTGTTAGTTTCTCTGTCTATGAAAATTATGTAATTATTCATTTTTTAGTTGTTCTCTAAACTTATGCATATTCCAATTGTAGTAAACACTTTTATCCTGCCACAATTTTATTACCTTTACTTTAAAATGGAATAACTAACTTACCATTATGTTTCCTACTTATCTTACTATTTTTTTATCAATCCGTTAATAATTATTCAATAATACCGGTAGTTTACGTTTTATCTATTCTACTCTAACATTAAAATTGTTGGATAATCAGTTATTTAGCAATCGATTATTTTGTGAGTGAAAATGCGACGGACCGGTGTACCAAGTTAATTAGATTAATTTGGAAGAAATAAATAAATATTATTTATTTTTTGTATATGGGGTTTGGTTAATATTTTGGTTATTTTGTTTGTCTCGAGACAAACCAAATTGTGCAACCTCAAATTAAACCCGGGTATATGGCCTAAGTCGCAATATTATTTGGATAAAATATTATCCGTTGGATAGATTTATTATAATCTCAAACGGAAAGTTTGAAATTAGAATAAATTACAATCGTTTTAAACGGAAGGTTTGAAACTAGAATAAATTACGATCGTCACAAACGGAAAGTTTGTAATTAGAATCAATTATGACTGCTCCAAACGGAAGATTTAAATTTAGATTAAATTACATCGCGAATTAAGGTCGTAATTATGATCGTAATTGATCCCCTGCCATTTCGGCCAAGTGGAGACGCTTATATAAAGGGCCTCACCCCTTTATTCCACACACCAACACCAACAACTCTCTCCTCCTTCTCTCTTCTCTTCTAACTTTCTGGCAACTTTTCCAGCTTAGTTTCTCTCTCGCTTTGTTCGCCGGAGCTCCAACGATCAGAGGTGCCACTCTCATTGGAGACGGAAATCATTTTATCTTTGGGTTAGAACGCCAGCCATCGGAGGCACTACCGAAGCGTATCTAATTTTCGAAAAGAGGATCCATCTTCGACTCGGTTTTAGGTATATTGTATTCTCGCAACACCCATTTATTCCAACAGTCGAAAATTAGATACTACTTTGCGAGAATGTCAACCCCTTCCAAGTCGCTGCCGGAGCCACCGGAACCACTGCCGGAAAAGTCACCGGAGGAATCGCCGGAGAAGTCGCCTAAGGAATTGCCGGAACCACCGCCGGAACTGTAACCGGAGGAGTCACCGTAGCCGGAACCGGAGATGTCGCCGGAATCACCGGAGCCTTTGCCGAAGGAGTTGCCAGAATCTCCGGAGCCGCTTCTGAAGCCGTTGTCGGGGGAGTCGCCGGAGCTGCTGTCGGAGGAGTCGCCGGAACTGCTGCCAGAGCCGAAGTCAAGGTAGTCGCTCCTCCAATTGGGCTAGTTCCCTTTATGTGTAGCCCTATGTTTTCTGAATTTGCCCCAGGGGGATATGGGGGCTTTTCTGGGTTTGTGGCCGCACCCTCTGCTTCATTCCCGGCTGAAATTGTTGGTCCTGGGCTTGGCCTACGGATGATGCCCCTTGTACAAGTTTCACAACCATTCACGGGATTGGACTTTAAGAGGTGGCAGAAAAAGATGCTCTTTTGCCAGACTGTAATTGGGTTTGCCATGTTCGTGTTGCACGATGGCCCAATCACCCCAGAGCCCGGTGCGGACCAGAAGACGCATGGAGACTACATGACAAGAAATACTAAATTAGATATTCTCTCTAACTCTCTTTATAATATATATTGCAAAATAAAGAGTGCGAAAGGGTTGTGAGATGCCCTTGAGAAAAAACTATAAGTCCGAGAATGTCAGGTCTAAAATGTTTGTTGTGACCCGGTTTATGGACAATAAGATGGTAGATGGCAAGTCTGTTGTCAAACAAGTGGAAGAATTTCAGCACATTGTTCACTCTGTTATCGACGAAGAGATGCCACTACCAGAAAAGTTCATCACGAGTGTGATGATCGAAAAATTGCCCCCGAGTTGGAGCAACTTCAAGCACGGGCTGAAGCATGAGCTAAAGCAAGTGGGGCTTGAAGATCTAATTGTCCAAATCTAGATAGAGAAAGACAATAGAAAACAACAACGGCTAAAAGTGGAGATATTGCTAAAGCCAACTTGGTCGGAGATCCCTCCGAAAAACATGCACGCCCAACTTAAATGGACAAGGGCAAAGCTAAACAGTCCAAGTTTATAGGTAACTGTTTTAACTGTGGTAAAACAGGACACCAGGTTAAGGACTGCAAGGCACCGAAAAAGAAGAAGCCGAGTTCCCAACTGGTCGAGAAAAGCCACTGGACTGATAGTGATCTCAATAGTGACGACCTTGTCACTGTTGTGTACGAAACAAATAATGTGGAAAGTCTAAGAGCTTGGTATATTGACACCGGAGCAACCTGCCATGTTTGCTCTGACCAAACAAACTTCTCGACCTACGAGGAGACCAAATGAAGGAAGCTACACATGGGAAATCACGCAACTTCTGATGTCCAAGGCGTAGGGAACGCGGTGCTGAAGATGACCTCTGGCAAAGAACTAACCCTGAAAGATGTCCTGCATGTGCCAGGCATTCGGAAAAATATCGTCTCACGATCGCTACTAGTTAGGCTTGGTTTTAAACTTGTCTTTGTAGCAGATAAATTTATATTATCGAAAAATGAGATGTTCCTAGCTAGCTTACAAATGGGCTGTTCAAATTAAATGTAACGGTCGTGTGCCAAGCACCACCTACTGATAATAAAAATGTTGCTTCTTCTTCGTACTTGATCGAGTGTTCTAATTTAAGATATTGTAGATTAGGTCATGTGAACCTAAATGCCATAAAAAGATTAGTAAATATGAATTTACTAAATTTAAAAGAGGTGAACACTCAAAACAAATGTGAAGTTTGCGTGGAGGCCAAAATGGCAAAATTACTCTTCCCGTCCGTCGAAAGGAAAACTAAGCCATTAGATTTAATTCATACCGATGTATGTGCTATAAAATTTGTGCAAACTAGAGGTGGAAAGAAATATTTCATCACCTTTATCGATGACTGCACAAAGTATTGCTATCTTTACCTATTAAGGGAAAAGAGCGAAGCAATCGAGGTCTTCAAGAACTTCAAAACCGAGGCAGAAAATCAACTTGACTGTAAAATCAAGACAATTTGAAGTGATAGAGGTAGAGAATATGTGGCCCCATTGGAAGAATTATGTAATTAAAGTGGCATAATTCATCAGACAATGGCTCCATATTCACCTCAATCGAACGGCGTTGTAGAATGCAAAAATCGAACACTTAACGAAATGATGAATGCCTTGTTGATAAGTCATGACTTCCCCAAAACCTGTGGGGGGAAGCGGTACTGACTGCAAATTATATCCTGAACAAGATTTTACTTAAGGGTAAGGATGAAACCCCTTAAAATATGGAAAGACAAGAAACCCATATATAAATACTTTAAAGTGTGGGGGTGCCTACCAAAAATGGAAGTTCCGTGGCCAAAAAAATTCGCTATCGGCCCAAAAACGGTAGATTGCATATTTATCGGATACACACTGAAGAGTAGTGCTTATCATTTCAAAGTTCACAAATCGGAAATCCCTGGGATGATCGAGGGAACTACGATAGATTCGATGAATGCCACATTCTTTGAAAATACCTACCCTTGTAAGGAAAGGATGCAGTCCAACCCGAAATTCGTAGATGAAGAATTACGGGGTGTAAAAAGACAAATGACCAATAGCCCTTATCAAGAGGCTTCAGAGCCTAGACGTACGTAGCAAAAGGATAAAGGTCGAGAAAACCTTTGGTCCGAATTTTATTACGTATATGTTAGACAATGATCCAACAACGATCAAAGAAGCATTATCTAGTCTTGATGCTCCTTTTTGGAAGGAAGAAATATATAGTGAAATAGACTCAATAATGCATAATAACACTTGGGTGTTATCTGACCTACCCGAAGGTTGCAAAAAGCTAGGTTGTAAATGGGTTTTGAAAAAGAAACACAAGGCTGATAGGTCTGTTGACAAATACAAAGCCCATCTCGTAGTAAAAGGCTACAGACAAACTGAAGGGTTTGACTTCTTCGACACATATTCACTGGTAACAGTATAACATCCATTTGAATGCTTCTTTCGATTTCATCTTTGAACAATCTCGAGATTCACCAAATGGATGTGAAGACTACTTTTCTAAATGGTGAATTAGAAGAAGAGGTTTATATGGAACAACCAGAAGCATATGTCATTCCTGGCCAAAAGAAAAAGGTGTGCAAACTGCTAAAGTCTTTGTACGGGCTGAAACAAGCATCTTTACAATGGCACTTGAGATTTGATAATGTTATGTTATCAAATGGTTTTAAAATAAATGAGTGTGACAAATGTGTCTACATCAAAGAAACACCTTCCGGTTTTATCATAATATGTCTATATGTAGACGACCTACTGATCATGGCTAAAGAGGTCAGTCTGATTAATAAGGTCAAATGCATGTTGAGTCATAACTTCTGCATGAAAGAGTTGGGGCTAGCCGACTTCATCCTTCGAATGAAGATTCTAAGACAAGACGAAAGTATTGTTCTGACTCAGTCTCACTATGTGGAAAAAATACTGAGAAAGTTCAATGTCTACGAAAACACTCCAGTGAAAACCTCAATGGACCTTAGCGTACACTTGAGCAAGAATAGGGGAGACCCCGTAGCTCAAAAAGACTATGCCAAAATTATTGGAAGCCTAATGTACTTAAAAAATTGTACAAGGCCTGACCTTGCTTGCCCTGTAAACAAGCTGAGTCGACACACTAGCAACACCAGTCATGAACACTGGAAAGCGCTAGTAAGAGTATTAAGTTATCTTAAATTTACCCTGAATTTTGGCATACACTATGCGAAATATCCAACGGTACTCGAAGGGTACTACGATGCCAATTGGATATTTGATGCAAAAGACTCATTGTCTACAAGTGGATATGTATTTACAATTGGAGGATGAGCTGTTTCGTGGAAATTCACAAAATAGACATGCATTGCACGGTCCACAATGGAATTGGAGTTCATCGCCTTGGACAAAGCTAGTGAAGAAGCCAAATGACTGAGGAACTTGATGGATGATATTCCATACTGGACTAAACCAGTACCTCCCGTAATGATTCACTGTGATAGCCAAACTGCAATAGCAAGGGCTAAGAATGGAATTTACAACGGTAAATCCCGACATATTTTACGTAGACATAACACTGTAAGACATTTGATCACCAATGAGGTTTTGACTACTGAATATGTAAAATCAATAGAAAACTTAGCGGATCTGCTAACCAAAGGGTTGCAGAGAGATCAAATGTACAAACTGCTAAAGGGAATGGGTTTGAAATCCACAAGATAGAGACAATTACAGTGGTAACCCAACCAAATCACTTGGAAATCCCAAACCTTGGTTCAATGGAAAAATTAACCTGTGAGAGTCCGGCACAAACACTCAATTACAATTCCCTGAAAATTTATGAGTGTTATAATGTGCAAAAGTGGTGAGGTTGAGTCAATGACTTTTAATGATCCTGAGTTAGATACCTTGATATAGGATTACCAATATAAGTGTGAAATGTGGGTCGCTTCAAACGAAACACTTATGAATCCAAAAACAAGATCCATGGCCGAAATGGATCAAAATCTGAGAACAAAGTTGAGATTAAGATAGCGATACGTCAATATTATTGACTAAGTGCATGCGGAGGTGGAACAGTTCAATGCATCATGTCAACTGGGCCACCAGAACACTCTGTAATGTTAACTAGGGAAGGTTCAAAGCCAAAAACTACCTGTCCTGATGTGTCAATGTCTCACATAGATTGAGCTGGGCTTCTGTCTTTTATAGGCATTTCCACTCATGTAGGAGATTGTTGGATAATCTGTTATTTTGCAATCGATTATTTTGTGAGTAAAAATGCGACGGGCCGGTGTACCAAATTAATTAGATTAATTTGGAACAAATAAACAAATATTATTTATTTATTGTATATGGGGTTTGGTTAATATTTTGGCTATTTTTCCTGTCTCGAGACAAACAAAATTGTGCAACCCCAAATTAAACCCGAGTATATGGCCTAAGTCGCAGTATTATTTGAATAAAATATTGTCCATTGGATAGATTTATTATAATCTCAAACGGAAGGTTTGAAATTAGAATAAATTACAATAGTTTCAAACGGAAGGTTTGAAATTATAATAAATTACGATCATCACAAACGGAAAGTTTGTAATTAGAATCAAATAATACTGCTTCAAACGGAAGCTTTGAATTTATAATAAATTACATCGATAATTAAGGTCGTAATTATGATCGTAATTGATCCCCTGCCATTTTGGCCGAGTGGAGACGCCTATATAAAGGGCCTCCCCCTTCATTCTAAACAACAACACCAAAAACTCTCTCCTCCTTCTCTTTTCTCTTCTAGCTTTCCGGGAACCTCCCCAGCTCAGTTCCTCTCTCGCTTTGTTCGCCACAGCTCCAACGATTACAGGTGTCACTCTTATTAGAGACGGAAACCGTTTTATCTTTGGGTTAGAACGCCAACCACCGGAGGCAGTATTGGGGCGTATCTAATTTTCGGAAAAAGGATCTATCCTCGACTCGGTTTCACG